AAACAAAGACTGAGTAGGATGTTGTGATGTGTTTTATTGCAGAAACTAACACTGTAAAATATAGGATCCGTTTTAAACCATTTGGGGTTTTTTGCTTTTACTGGTTCTTTTCAGTTTAAGTTTGACAATTCCACAAGCATTAAATATGGAAGTAAATCCTGCTCCAGTCCGTATTTTACCCTGTTAACTAGTTTGGAGATGGAGGTGGGTTTTGTTTGGGGTTTTGTTTAAAGCCTCATTCCCTTTCTAAGTGTTGGTGTTTGTTTATTGTGCAGATTCAACCCCTGACCGTGGTATTCTTCATTGCTATTGAAAGTTAATGGGGGAAAAATTGCATTCCAAACATTTGAACCTGTAGTAGCCATGGCTGAACTTAGTTGATCTCTGGTGATCGGTTCAATTTAGTTACGATTTTTAGCCATTAGGCTGGGGCTGAATGATGGTGATTTGGTTGAGGCCAAATGTCTGTAGAAAATTGGCTGTTTGATAAGAGCCCTGTTATCAGAGGGGGATACTTTCTCATTTACATTTAGATGAGTATTGATTATTTATTTACTCAGAGAAGTGAGATTCGTTCCCAATCTTATCTCTCTCGTCTCTGCTTGTCAGCAGAAAGAGAGAGAGAGCTCCTGACATCAGCCCAAGATAACAGCACTTTGTAGTGAAGATAAAAGTTGGAATGGGCCTTTTTCTAGTCTTGACTGAAAGGATAAGTTCTAAAAATTAGAACTGACGGGTCATGCTTTCAAAACCCCATTCTGAAGCCTTTGCAGCTTAAATGGCAACAGAATTGGTTTGTTGTTATGTGGATGGCCATTTGCCTTTTGTAAGAGAACCACTTAATTTCATTATGCGGTGGGATTCTTCCCAGAACACCTTTGCCTTGTGCGGTAGGGAAATTGTGGAGGTGACACTGGGGGCTGTTTCCTTGTTTGTTTTTAATTCCTGATAAACCTTGCTCTGTTCAAAGGGGTATCCTGAAATGATGGAGTAGGTGGGTGTCTGTAGGCAGATCTTGGTGTAGATGCTTAGAAGGGGATTGCAGCAGAAGGGATGCGTGTTAAGCTCCGCAGGTGAGGTGTGAGATGCTGAGTGAGGCCCTGGGAGTAAGCAGCGACGTCTCTCCATGCTAACCCCATTCCTCCACAGCTGCTGGTCTGACAGTCAGCAAAGCAAGTCAAGAATGGGATTATTGTTGCTGGTAGTATTTGCAGTGTGTGGTCTAGACTCATAGCATGGCGCAGGAGTGGAGAAGACCTAATGCATCAGGCCTGCAGGTCTGGTGGGGAAGGGAACGGTTCTCACCCTCCCTCTGGGACCCCAAACAATTCTCTGATGGCTTTTAAAGAAAAAGAGTTTGCTTGAGGGTATAGCCCCTTCTCATTCACCATTTTGTGGCTCATTTCAGAGGGCTGCTTTGGTTCCCTCCTTCCTCTCCATCCACACGAACACTTGTCTCTCCAGCCCAGCTTGCTGTAACCCAGCAACAGTTTCTGTCTCTCCGAGTATTTGTGACAAAATTGCAGAACTAGAAGAGGGGTTTGTATTCATTGGCTTTGTCTTCTGCATTTTTGTCCGTGGTAACTTCCATTTTCACGTACTTGCTCCCAGCTTGGTGGTGGAACACAATGCACATGATTTACTCTGCCCCTTTGCTCCAGCGAGCAGCGCTTTGTGGGAGCCCTGGGCAATGCTGCTGGATGTGGGACATGCTCGAGTTGTGGTCCCTGCTGTCAGTGGGAGAGCTCTGGGTTGTGGGCCAGGACTAATCGTGCCAGGATTTTAAAGCTTTATATTACAGCTGCGCAGAGCATTTGCATCAGATTGCAGAAATCCATAAAATCCAGGGTTGGTATTAGCGCTTGGAATTTTGTAGAAATTCCCAGAGCAGTATTCTGTTAGGAGACCATTACATTACCTAATGTTTCTACTACAATGACATCATTTGAACTTGGGAGAGAAGTAAACGTCCTCTGCAGAATCAGCCTAACATTTTTCATCTGTTGTGAAGCAGAGGTCCTGTAAATGTGTACAGATATTTAAAATACATCATTTAAGAGTCGATACTCTTTTTTTATATATCTGTATATAAATTTCATAGTATTTTCTGTTTTAAAGGAGTTCTTCAAGTGGAAGGTTGCCTTGGTTTCTGATCTGTAGCTCTGTGTCATTCTTTTATTAGCAGACAGTTAATACAGGCTTGAGACAAATTGGATGAAACAATTTAGCTGCTCACAGACTTCTCAAGTTGCTCCAGGTAAAGATCATCCTTTGACATTGGCTTGGTGGTGTTGAGGGATATGATCACCAGTGGCTCTCTGCAGGGTGGCAGGAAGCTTGTTCAGAGGTGTGAGGATTGCTTGTGAGCTGGGTGATGTTCTTTGAGTGGATCCAGCTGGTGGAATCAGATCCACACAGAGGGACTGTAAACCGCTGCCAAGCTTCTGCTTTTAATCTTATCCCCTTATCATCGTGTGCATGTGATTCTCTGATCATTTTCAGGCTTTGATGGCATTGATGTCTGTCCTTTTGTCCCATCCCTCTGTCTGGGAAACACAGCAGTAAGCCCACATCTCAGTGCTGAGAGAGCAACGTGTGGTTTGGTGCCAGTCCCCTGCAGCAGCTCCCACACAGCACTGTGCGAATGGGAGGAAATTGTCTAAACAGGAATGACTTAGTTGGATAGGTGATGCATAAAAGTGTGATTTATGGAATGGATCTCTTGGCTCATCACGGATGTGTTCTGGGTGCATCCACCTGAGAGGGCATCTATGGAGGCAGCCGGCGAGGTTTAGGAGTCCAGAAGGGGCCAACTTCACTTCTTCCTCTGCTCTGATTCAAAATATTTTTGGGGTGTAAGGGAGAGGGAGGCTGTAATGAAGAATGAGGAAGCTGGGACACAGCGGTGGGCACTGGTGTCAGCAGATCTTAGTGATTTCTGTCTGTGGTAGGAGCCCTTGGAATTAGGGGTTTGGTAGCAGGCACCAAGAACATGGACATTCAGGTGGAACCAACAGTTCTGCTGCCTTTGTCATTGCTGGGTATCGTTCAGCATTTGGCTGTGGTTTGGGAACCTCTGCTTACAAACAGACAAAGCAAGCAGGTTTTGCTGTCACTGATTCTGTTTTCAAACTACACCAGTTTTTAAATACAAATTGATTTACCACTTTGATATCTGTTTCAATTCGGTATATTTTGCTTCTGCCTAACAAGCCAGGCCTCTGTTTATTTAATTTAGTTCAGATTTGTAATCGCATTTCCAGTAGCTGGGAGGAGAAAGGATGATGTTGTATTCATTTGCTTTTCTTTTTGTGCTGGCATGAGACTTCTCTGCTGCTTCTTGAGCCTGGTTTGTTCCATAAATGCTTCAACGAGCTACACATGCAGTCGCTGTGGCAGGGAGGGAGCAGTCGTGCTTTCCTCCTCTGACCTGCAAATAGCCTGGCTCTGGATGTGCTCTGAGTGTCACCTGGAATAAGGGAGCTCCATTTTATCAGGAAATAACATTCCACTTCAGGAGCAGAACCCACTTGGGCTGTGCAGCGAGTGCTTCACACGGCTTCTGGGGAGATGAAATGAGGAGTTGTAATTGAAATTCTGCTGTAGTAAATTTAAAATTAATTGGCTAACAAATTCCATTTCTTAGGAATGCCATCTGAGGCTAAAATACGGAATTTTTTTATATGTTTTAAATATTTCATCATATACTGTCATAATTCAAAGTCAGGAAACATTCAGAAGTATTTTAAGTACTGATAAAGAGGAAATAGATTTCATTATTTGAGTTCTAGGTGCTTTGTTACACTAAGACCTGGTTAAAGGTGCTTTGCATCACTTGAGCTTTTTTCAGGTATCTGTTTAGTGTTATTTTACCAAATTATACAGAAATTACAGCTGAGAACTTTGCGTGCGCTTCAGCTCTTGGGTGTGAGCAGGAGTGGAGATCCGTTAATGTAGTTGGATCCGTTAATGTAGGTGGATCCGTTAATGTAGTTGGATCTGTTAATGTAGTTGGATCCTTTAATGTAGTTGGATCCGTTAATGTAGTTGGAAAGCAGTTTTTTAAGCAGCAGCATCTGTCCTTTGGTGAGTTGGTTTGAGAAGAAGAAAGTTGGCACCTGAATCTTTAAGATTTACAGTTCAACATGATGTATATAAAAATAATTCCTTGGAAGTAATTTAGCATCTGCACGTGCTTAAGTTTGGTGCAGTTCAGTGTTAACAGCATACAGATCTCTGGAAAAAGATCTCTTGATGACCCTTTCCGCTCCATGCAGCCCCTGAGCTGCTGGATGATGCCAGACTCCCTGTCTCTAGTCAGCCTGCAAGGCAGTGCTGATAGCTGCTGAGGCGTAAAGAAATCCTTACCCCACACTTCTCAAGCACCACATTGCAAGAAATGTGCCATTGGCAGAGGTAGAAATAGCCAAGCTGGGTGTCATGGAGCTTGCTTTCATGACAAAATGCAATTCATAAAAGCAAAGCTGCTTTCCTTCCCAGCTGTTTGTTGGTGCTCTGTGCAGACACCACCAAGGCTGCAGCTGAGCTTTTCTTGCCTTCCCAAGTGTGAGTGTAGGTTGAGTTGAGCCCACGCTCCAGAAGCTCCAGGCTGCAGTCCCAGTCTGGAAGAGGAGTGGGCTTGGGGTACAACATAGATACACACCAAGATCTGAGTAGGTATTTTTTCCAACAGGAAATACCTCTGTTTTGCAGCACAGGCAGGGTATTTAATAGAGACTCATCAGGTGTAGGAATAATGCAGGAATGTTGGGCAGCAGTTTGTCAGGTAGCGTTGGTAGACAGCTGAAGATGACTGGAATATGCTGTTTCTTTGCACACCATCTTTTGATGACAGGGCCCTTCCCTTTGGCAAAGAGCTTTGAAACATAAACGTCTACTTGCCTTACTTCTAGGCTACGAGTAACCTCATGTTAGTTGAACGTGATAAGCCATCACTTTGTTAGAAAACAGATGATTTTACAAGTTACTTTATGTTTCAGGTCCTCAGTATCGGCTGGAGAAGCAGAGTGAACCTAATGTCCCAGTAGATTTAGACTGTACCTTGGAGAGCCAGAGCACTTTGGAATTCTGCCTTGTCCGGGAGAACAGTATGTTTCCCCTTTTCACTTTTGCTCTTGTAAATTGCTTAAACTCACATAAGTTATGTATTTTGGAATACAAGCTGTACTGTCTGGGCAAGTAAGTTTTGACGAGACTCCTTCCTGAGGCACTTCTCAGTTGTGCCAAAACAATATTCCAGAGGGAAATGATGGATTTCATACCTTCTAGTAAATAGTCTGCATCTTGTTTATCACTTCATGATTAATCGTTTTCTGTTAAACTCTGCTCTGTAAAGTTATAACCAACCCGAAAAACACTGGAAATATGGAACACTTTCTGTTGCAGGCATTGCTCAGTGGACAAAGTGATCATTCCGCAGTGTATTTTGCCATGGTGATATGGCTGTTAGAAACACCGATTTCTTTTTTTTTTCTAATAGAATTTAAAGAAATTAACCATGCAGATATAACTAGAGCAGTTTGATGGTTTTTAAAGTGCGAGGCAAATAGTCTTCTCCCCAGCTATGCTCAAATATTTTTATTCTATTACTGTTTTAATGGTCCTAATAATATTTCCTAATTCATTTCGTTGCAAGGAACTGTATGAAACTCTAAAAACCCAAACCTTTAATATTGATTTGTGTTTGTCCTCTATAGCATTTTGGTCTGTCCTTCATTCTTTCCAACAGTCGTGCTCTCAGTTGCGGGGTTGGGGTTTTTTTATTCCATTTTAATTCAGCTGTAAAAGTGTTGATTGTACTAATGAGGAAAGCAGTAGCGCTCAAGCTCTCAGCCAGGACCACGCTCAATGTTTGCTGCAAGCAAGCTTAGTAAAAGCCTGTTTTGATATAGTAGAAGAATTTTTCCTTTCTTTACAAAGATCAGACCGTTCCATTTATGCTTTTTGGCTGTAGCGTTTCATATTTTATCCTAGAATGACAGCAAAGCCTCCCCAGAGTAGCTCCTAATTCCAGTGGCGAGCAGTAGACTCTATTCCCATTTAAGGACTAGCAGAGGTGAGACCCAGCTGCCACAAGCATTCCAGTGGGACATCAGTGCTGGCACTCGCAGTTTTGGCTGCCACTCCATAGACTGGGACTTGCTCCCAAAGTATTCCTGATGCTCCTGATTAATTTCTTCATAAAATGATTCTAAGGAACTGTAGGAGAGAATGAGGCAGAAGGTGGCAGGGGTGCTGTGCATGAGGAAATGGAGCAATTTTAACCTCCCTAATCAAATTGCAGCCAGAATTCCCCAGTGTCTGCATCCCACCTATTATTTTAGTATTGATTTTTAATCCATGAAAAGATGCACATGGGTCATACTTTCATAGGTTTTACACATTTTGAGTTTTAAAAAGCTATTTTTTTTATATCCAAGAATTTCAATTAATAGTATATATGCTGCATTTTTAACGTATTTTCATCATCTGTGGCTCGTAGCTATATCTGCTGATGCTCTTAGCTCTCACGAATGACTAGGCTTGGGTTGCACTGTTACTTTAATAGTAAATCTGTCATGAGTTTCGAAGTGGTTTAGTAGGAGGCATTTGGTCTACTCTGCATCAGCAGCAAAAGCTCGAGCAGAGCTTCAAAGGCCTTGCCTCAAAATTATCGTCAGTCATAATGTGAAGGAAGCACTTTTCCCCTTCCCTGAAAGGCAATGGCATCGCACTGGTAGGTGGTGGCTTTTTGTCCTGTTCATGGGTCTTGTGTTTGTCAGCCAGTGCCTGGAACATAGGAATGTGAAGGCAAAACAAGCACTTTGACTCTGTAGAGTTCAAGAGCAAGTCACTGTTTTAGTTTGTTCAAGGCTAACAGTAATCTAGGCAAAATAATAAATGCTTACATGAATTCTGTCTGTTTTCTGCTGTGCTGTTGCTGTTTTCTGAATGGATACCAAACTCAAATAAGGAATGCAGGAGAAATCCTCTGTTTGTAGTTTCTTCCCCAGAATGTGGGTGAATTTCAAGCGATCTTTCATTGTCCCTGCTCAGGGCTGTATGTGAAACACCCATGCAGTTAACTCTCTACACATAGAGATGTTCAAGGACAATACAGTATATAAGATCAGTCATAATTCATCTGCTGTACGTAGCCTGGTTCCCCCAATACACAATAAGAAATTGGATTTTGCGGTGCTTAAGGAGCTATCCTTTGCCATGGCATTAGAATAGAAATATTGACAGTTGTGCACTGTTCATAAAATAGAACTTGAAAATCCTAACATCAAAATGAAATACTTATTTCATGTATTTTGGTTTTATTTGAAATACTTCTAGCTGAGATATGCCAGTTAGGAAAAGCTCTGTTCTAACAGCTATTATTTGTAAATGTACCCTTTGTAGTCTCATATTCATTTATAAACATATATATATGTCTGATGCCAAACATCTGCTAGTGAAATAGTTGCCAGTTTCCTTTGGGCAAATAGAAAGTTTATATTTCAGGGTATTAAATGAAACAGAAAACTTTCCATTATTAAGAAATACATATGGAGAAATCCCTTATCTAGCCAACTTTCACTAATGGCATTCAAACTAATAAACTGTTTCCAGTATGCAGAACTTTTTAACTCGCATGAAGATTTATCTTTAGACTAAAAGCCTGCACTTCGTAATGTGAAATGCTTTTATGTGTAGTAGCAAACTGTTCATGGCTAATTTAGTTTTATTCTTACCATCTTACTTCTGGAAAGTTCCTCTTTCTCATTTTATCATTAGATAGTAATTAGTATTCAAGGGAAATTGGTCTTAATATATTAAAATTGGTTTAGTGCCTTTAGACCTGTACCAAAGCCAGTCTCTTATTGGAAAATGTAATTGGGGACTCTGTGTATGTAATTAATTGTATTACAATTAAGAACTTTCATTAAGCAATATACTAGTACATTAAAGTAATAAGGGACATTTTTGCAATGCAGTTAACTTTATATTTTGTTGGTTTATGGAGGATATACAGGTTCACTTGCTCTTGAATAGGCTACATACAGCATTTCAATATTCTGATATTCCTAATGTGTCATTTTTATATGTCCTCTAGTGCTGACAGGAGACCCTTTTGGATAAGGCTGCTTGGTTTAGCTTCTAACTTATTTTCAGGCTTGTATTTCTGGTGCCTGTTGTTTCATCACTGTTTGCCTCGTTTGAAAATCAGGATTTTCTATGGGGAGATTGGCCTGAGCTACAAATATAACTGTATTTCACAGTAGTTCAAGGACTTGAGAAAAAATGTCTCTCTCTATACTGAACCTGGTTTAAAAACAGAAAAGATCTTCAGCTGTTGTTTCCAGACTGGGAAATATGTTGGTTTTCTGGGTGACCCTCGAATTAGAGACTGCAGATTAGTGCCATGGCTGCGGCTTCTAAAACGCCATAGTGCTTCCCCACAGTGGCTGTCTTAAAGAGTAGATGTAACCCTTGATACCATTTTTGCTTTTTATTCAGCTTCTGTGGGCAGAAAACACCACTCTGGGTTTTTTTCTGGTTTGCTTTTGGGTTGTGGTGGTTGGGTTTTGTTTACTTGTTTGGGGTTTATAAAGGAGGAGGCTGGGGTTGAATGTTTTGTGTGCTTTTGCTGCACAAGCAATCTGAGCAGGGATGGAGAGCAGTCCGGCTGGCTGGGAAGTTCCTCCTCCAGTGAGGATTGTGACAGTGAGTTGATAAGAATCAGATGGATAAAGAAAACAGACACGTGGCTGCATGGAATGCATACAGTTCTATATGGGATCTCCCTCCAGCCAGCACCATGCATTCTTACACAGTGACTTTAGTTTTAGGGATTTGGAAACTGGGGGAACATCAGCAGCAGTACAGTGCATGTGAAGCCGTGGCTGCTGATGCAGGGTGAGCTGGTGGCTCTGTGGCTGAAGGCAACTCCAGTGCTGCCGGCCCCAGCCCTGTGTCACTGCAAGCACCAGCTTTATTCTGCCCCCACGCAGGCACTGCAAAGGTAGAGTGTAAGGACTGGCACTAGGCATGGCAGTGCCAAAGTCCCAAAACCCTGTGTTTAGCTGTGCCACCCATAGCTCTGTCCCTGGCTTGGGCATGGCAGGGCAGAAGCACAAGGTTCCTCTTTGCCATTCTTTTCCTGCTCCAGTCATGCATTTTCTTACCCTGCTGCTCCAGTAATTAACCCCCTATCCTGGGCTAAGGGAAATTACCCTGGGCTGAAGGAAATGCCTCCCTTGCAGCTGTGCTTTGCACTTCGTGCAGGTTCTTACCTTATGCCTTGTTTATCCCACGCCTGACTCCAGCTTTTTTTCCCCTTTCCCCTTCAAAAAGTAAATCAATTAAGTAGGCCATAAAGAAGAATGGGGGGGTCACTGCAAACTGAAGCTCCATGTCAGTATGTGACAGAGTTTGTTTCTGGAATAGGAATCTGTTCGTCCTAGGGCAGAGCAGTCTCTGCCAGCAGAGCCCTATTGCTGGGTCGGCTCTTGGGCTAAATAATAGACGTGGAGCATCCACTTTACTTGATTGTCTTGCCAAGCAGAAGCTTTTACATTCAAAAGCCACACTGTGATCTCCATTACAAATACCCTGACAGGCCTGTAAATATTTGACAGGTTTATTCACAGCTGCTTGCATGTGGAAAATATTTTTATGCTTTTTCCCCCAATCAGCTGGTGGAGATGGCTCTTCCCTCGGCTGCTGAGCACCGGCAGGCTCACAGACATCCTTGCTGAGCTGCGGGGTAAGAGCAATATGCCAAGTTCTGCAGTCAGGTTTTTCCCTGCAGGGCATTTCTCTCTGTTGTTACTGATATTACTGCTATTATCCAATGCACCCTCAGGGGTCCGCATGTCTTGCCATCTTTAGACAGATGATCTGTTTTGATGGTGGAGTTCCTGGCTGCAATCCCAAGAGCAGCAACTGTAGAAATTCTGTAAACCTGAATCCATTCACAAAGCTCCATAAAGCAATGTCGGCAGAGGTTGCGGGTACACGGAGGATCTGAAAGGCTTCCAGAGCAAAACCCCACTGTTCAGCTGCTCCGGCTGCAGCAGTTGATGCTCCTGCTGTTTAGACATGACAAAGGTGCTCACAGTTTTAGTTGCAGTGACAATTTTTCCCCCTGGATATGGTCTGGCAGGCTGCTAATTTTCTTTGTAATACTTTTCATTTGGGTGTGTGAAATCTTTAGACAGACTCAGCTTCGTAATAGCCGTGTAAAGCTGGCACACAGTGTCCCTGCTCTGACAGTATCTGGTGTGGATGGTGAGGGAGGGTGGTGCAAGGCCAGCCTGGGAGCACAAGGGCAGTGGTGCCTGCAGAGCATCCAGGGAATCTGGGTCTTGTGAAGTGCTTTAGGAACATTTCTCAGGAGGTACAGGAGCGTGATTAAGATGCTGCCATTCTTTGTGTTACTTCTTTCTTATTGCCACGGGTTCAGTTTGTCTGTTGGTGCTAATTCTCCTTCATGAGTAACACTGTCCTGAGAACCCAGCTATGTGGAGAGCTGCCCATTGCACCAAGGTGAGGGTCTTGTCACCGACTGCTGAAATACAGCCATGCACTGGGAGCCATTTCCACCAGTGGAAGAGGGTCCCTGTTCGCTCTCGACTTCGGAGCAGCCCCATTGCCATCCTCCTGTTTTGCTTCCCGGCACAGCTGTGCCACAGTGTTTCAAGATGCTTTTAAGTGCACCAAAAAGTTTGACATATCTCAGTGTATCTTTGAAGTACTGCAGCGTGAGGGTTTGACATGATACATTATGATAATCCATAGTATAGAGACATTAACACAGGGGTCTTTGACAAAATACATTGTAATGTCTCTGAAGGAGCCATTACAATTTATCTTGTCATTCTGGAGCGTAGAGTGGTTGCAATGTTAAGATGGCTCTGCATAAATTCACATGTAGACTGTTTCATTTGATTTTTGGAGTTCTTTCAAGTCGAATGGCGCAGCCCAATTTGTAGCTTAACCCTTTGCTGTCCCCTTCTCTGAATGAAGGTCCTGGTTGCATGTCAGGAGGCTGTGGTGTGTGGTGAGGAGTGGGCATCACCCTCACCCACTCTCCTTTAGGCAGGGTGGAAAGCTGATGTGACTAATGCCGAGGAAAGGGAATCTCCTCCTTTGTGCTGCCAACACGTACTTTGACTCATTTAACAGCAAGTGCTAACTTACTTCGATGCAGACATGGAAGATATTTATCATAAGCAGTGACGTTTGTTACTGAATTAACAGATAGAAAAGGGAATGCTTACACCCAGCAGGAAAAACACCCCATGCTCAGGTGGGGTTTTTCTTCCCTCTTGCCTACATTTGTCCTGCTTAATGCCACCACCACGGTGGTTTCCTTGGTGGAAGCAAACAGCAAGTACTTCTGCAACTCAGAATTACCCTGTTCAAAGGGTACCTGCTCCCGCATCAACAGTACGTGACTGAGACAAGTGCTAGGGTTTTCCTCCTCTGTGAGCCATGACCTTTCCTGCCAAACCATCCGCTTGTCATTGGGGCCCAAACATGGAATCCCACTGCGGCTTCCATGCGAGCTGACATGAGGATGGGAGTGCACATCCCCAGAGGGAAAGGTCAGCGTGAGAAGCATTAAGTGTTGAGGCTGCTCCAACTGGGCAAGAACAAAATTAATACCAAAAAAATCTGACAAGTTCTTCGCCTGCTTTGCTGGATCTTTAAGGCCTGTACTAAAATCCCATCATCTCATCTTCCCGTTATTAAAATTTCAGCAAAATATAAAGTTTTCATTAATCTCCTGCAGCAAATTTAGTACTCTGAACTGGCGGTTGATTCAGCTTTTAGGACTACATTAGCTGGGATATTAAAGAAAACGTGTCATTCTTCAGTTTCTTCTGTAAGAAGCTAAATCAGTTTTCAAATGTATTTATACCACTTTATCTAACAGCATCTGAATGATCATTTAGAGCTGAGATGCTTTATTAGCAGCTGGCATAGAAATTACTCTGTGCAAAATTATATATCGCATTATAGTAATGTTTAAATTGGTGTTAATCCAACGTCATAAAACGTAAAAAATCTGTAAAGTGTGTTATATTTTTTCAGTAATTGGCATTTTTGCTTAATGAGATGTTACCTTTTATAAAGCCAGTACCTGCAGTAGTAATGAGAATACTAATCAGTAAATAAAGCGTGGCTTTGTTACCACCGGGCTGAGATAAGAGTGCCCGAGGTGATGCCAGTGTCACATCCCACATGAAACATGGGAGAGCTGTGCTAGTGCACACATGGAGGGTGGCTCCTTCCTGGGGTGACAGGCTGGGGGTGTCCTGGTGGGGATCCCACCAGGTTGGCCCCTGGGGATACCTGCGGTCCAGGGGTGTTTTGTGCCACTGAAGAATCTACCACTGGGAAGAGCAGATGCACTGCGCTTCATGTGGGATGCAAATGTGTATTCTAATATCCTTAAAGAATTGGTGATTCTGACTTTGGGTGGAGGGTGGGAGTTTCCTCCTCCCCGACATGGACTTGAGCACTGTTCTTCCTTACAAAGCCATCAGCAGCTACAGACATTGCAGCCATATGAACATACCATCTGAATCTTATGCTGTATTTTAAACCTCTTGTTCATTATTGTTGGCTTGTTTTGCAGGTTCAAGAGGAGAAGAGGTCTCAGAGGAGGACCCTCAGATCGATATAGCTACAGTTCAGGACATGCTCAGTAGCCACCATTACAAGTCCTTCAAAGTCAGCATGATCCATAGGCTTCGATTCACCACTGATGTTCAGTTAGGTAAATCAATCCATACTATAACGCTTAGGAAAATGGAACAGTTCAAACCTTTGGCCATCTCTAATAGCTGTATGTCCATCTCAGATGTTTTTAAAGTAGTCGTTATCATGGTGGGCCATTTTATTGTGGAGCACATCACTCAAAAGTGCTGCCAGCATCTCAGCAGTTAAAAAAGAATTGCTCTCAGTTGAAAAGACTTCAGTATTTTTATTACCCACAATCAGGCAGCACATGTTTCTTCTGAAAGAAGGCCATTATTTAATGACCTCATCTCTGTTTTTTTTAAATCTAAGCTTCCTAATGGAAAGCTTCTTGCCAACTGTTTTGTTATTTTTAAATGAGGCTATGCAAAATTAGGACTGATTTGGTTTTTCCTTTTCTGAGACTGAGAGATTTTAGCGACCAAGTGGAAATTTGAGGTGCCACAAAAGAAAACTAGCATTCTCTAAAGGTTTTATATTGTCCTTATTAGCTTTCTGAATGCTTTTGAAAACCCAAAGGCCAAGGGATGACAGAATCTTGAATTATAAAAGCCCCATTACTGTTTTAAAATGATTGAATGGCTTTTTATCTTTGTGTTTAAATTGTGAATATTTGATTAATGATGCATTGGTAGGTGACCTGTGACATTCCTGCAAATACCTTCCATAAAGAAACGATTCAGCAGTAAAATATTAAGTGCCATAATGTTTACAAAATACATTTATTCTGCAGAATTCAGTGGAATTGTTAAATTTAAAGGATACGAGTTCCTGTATTATTGTTGGTGCAATCTCTTCATTCTTCCATCCTTAAGCATGTGTAAAAGTGTACGTCTAAAATCTTTACAGAAGAGGCTTTCTTGGTTTATTTTGAACTGCCTCGTTGAGGAAGGATTTATATACTGGTGCTGAAGCAGGACAGCACTGGGCATGTTTTCTGCTTTTGAGCAAACTCTCTGGGTGCGATAGTTTGCTTCCAGTGAAGTTTGCCTCACTGTATCTGGAAAGTGTCAGAAATGAGAGCTTGAAAAGGTCATGACAGATCACTAAAGATAAATGGTTAAGGGAGAGTAGCTGTTAAATGAAACAAATGGCTTAACTTGTGCAGCAGGGAAGGAGCTGACCCTGTCCAGTAGTGGAAGGACCATAAAATTTCCCTTTTATAATAATCTGTGAGCTTGTATATTTTTGGTGGCAGTACACTGACAGCATGGTTTTTATAATCTTATTATTTTGTAAAATCAAAGAAGACCCCAGTGGGATATTCCAAGTTTGGGCAAATAAATGTACAGAATCCAAACCTTTGAATACAGTCAAAATAAGCGTATGGTGCCGAGGTTTCTCCTGACATTTTTTTAGAGGTATTGAAAGAGCAATGCTGGTACAATAAGCATTGAGGGGCTATTTAGATTAGGGCTGCTGAGTGTTGATGTGATCATCTTCTCCTCCATGCAATCTGAAATACCTGTGTGGTTTTGGGGGTGAGTCCCAGTGTCCCAGGCTTCGTGCAGACAGACATTTACATGTGACAGAACCCAGAAGTGGTGGTGAACACACTCAGCGTAGCTCATCTGCACTCCCTGCAGTTTCATCTGACATTGTAGGACGCACACCACGTCGCTGAACTTGCGTAGGTTCTGTGTTGGGTCAGGCAGCAATAGTGTGAGCTGTGTTTGCAGACTGGTACTTTTTGAAACATTTTAGCTGCTTTGAGGCCTGATCGCTGAATCTGAGGCAAGGTTTAGCTAAAAATGGAGTAAGCTCCATCTTCTGTACACCGTACATAGTTCTATAGTAAAAAGCAATACGTAAAGGACCAGAGGAGGAGGAATGAGCACCTTTTGACTGATGGTTTTATTACGGTGGAAGGCTTTCACCGTATCAGTGTAAGGTTTGGGGTTTTATGTTTTAGCTCATATTACAGTGTAATGCACATACAGTAGCAGTCTCAACATTTTTACAGAGGTTCTGCCACATTGTGAAGGCATAAAACACACTTGTGTATCGCATTAATGAAAGAAGCATATTGTCTCAGAAAATGACTGCTGGCAAGTATTTCAGAAAAGGGGGGGCAGTTGCAGACCCCAACAAAGGAAGCAAAACCAGAGCAGTGTTACTGGACTAATACATCACCAGTATTTCATTTGATAAAATGAATGAATTAAAGCAATAGTGGAAGGAGCATTTTTACTTGCTTTTTGAGTATGAGTAATTTGTGCCGTGAAACAGAGGCTGCAGAAGCCACATACATAATACTGTTTTGATTTTAGGTTTCAACACATACAGACTGTGAGAACAATAACACAAAAAAGACAACATTCTTTGTCAATGTGCTCTTTGGATGTGTGTGAGCTTAAGCCAGTGATGTTGAGATACAGAAATAATGGATGAAGTATACAGTGACAATTTGCAGATAAAAATAATAGAAGTTAAAGTGTATTTTACATGATAAAAAAAAAGATGAAAGAGGAGGAAGTCTGTTACATCTGAGATGGTTACAAAATCCATGCTTGGTGAAGTAGCCTCTGCTGAAAAGATTGATGCAATGGGGAGTGACCTTGGCTTGGAGCAGGAGCTGGTGATGTATGTATGAGCATCTCTCTGCTAAATGGACCCAGATTTGTAGCACTAATATACATGGAAGCCCAGAACCAAACTCAGGATGGCAATAAATCAACAGCCACTTTGGGTGTCATTTCTGGTTTATATTCCACTATTGTTCTATCACTTTAATTCATGTCACTATCATCTGTTCATCTGGAACAGTTTTATATAATTTTCCAGTGGAGTTACCTGACAAATCCTATCAAATTAACAAGGTGCATTAACAGTATTGACTGACTGTGAATTCTGAAGTTACAGGACCATACAGTGAGACATTTTTAAGGATCTTTTCAGGGGTGGTGCTTTCAGAGCGAGGGATGTGGATCAACCCTCGCACACAAGGAATTTGCACCTTTATTTTTAGAACTTTCCTTGACTTTTTTCAGTGAGAAAATAAGAACTTGGACATTCAACTTTGCGTATTTTCCTTAAACTACAGAAAATGCCATTTTGAATAATTAACTGTTACAGTGAAATAACAAGGCTACTATTAAATAATCTGTCCAAAATTAAATTACAGAACAAAATGGGCTCCAGATACAGCATCAGCCCGCTCAAATTACCTAGTTCTAGCAGTCCTTAATTGGACTCTTGATACAATGCTTAATTGAAATGTGATCACTCTGATGTGACGTATGTTTAATGACAAAGCACATTCTTGGATTAATAAAGGGGGCTGGGGGCTGGTGATGTTCCTATAACCAACCATCCCAGCCGGGGTTCAAATGAAGGTAAGTGTGTTTGAGTGGCAAGGACTGCAGCAGGGAGCCAACTGTAGGAGTCTGCTCCTTGCTGCCTGTGTGCTGTGATTTTTAAAGCTTCATAAAATGCAGACCACTTCGGTTTGCAAATTCTGCAGCTATGAGCAGGCTTGAAGAAATCCTGAGTTAATTTTGGAGGGTTTGGGAGAGTCGTTACGTGTGCGACACCTTAACTTTGATTTTGTTACACCTCTTAAAAGTTTCATCGTCAGCTCCTTTAGGTTTTCCTGGGCTTGAGACGAGCCAAGTGTAATACAAAAGCTCATAGCCAAAACCCTCAAGAGGGAGAAGGTTCCCTCTGCTGTTTTCCTCGAGATGCAGGATCTAAATTGTATTTAAATACTTTTTTCCTGCTTCCTTTTGTCACTTTCTCATGAGTTTCACCTATAACTCATGACTGAAGAAATGTAATTATTTTCAAGGCTCCACACATCCTGATGTAAAAAGCACACTGGGAAGTTTGCTCAGTCGTGTCAACAGCTACTGAACAATGAGCTTCTGTTCATCAGCGCGGCGTAGCAGGGCTTTTGCTGTGCAGTACTCTGAGAAAGACCACCATAAATTACAGTGAGTGTCCCAGGATGGTTCCAGCACACTCTTAGCCCTCAGCCAGCCCTGGCTGCATCCTGCTGGAAAGGCTGCTCTTGCACCATGTTGGGAGTAACGTGTGGAGGGATGGTAGAGGCATTTTCTGCTCTGGCTCACAGAAGGTCTGTGGTAGGATCTGCTATACCCAGGTCAACCCGCATGCAGCACGAGCGAAGCACCAGCCATCTGGGGAAGCCCGTGTTGGGAAGCCGGGCCCGATGCCCGTGCCAGGAGCTACACAAATCCACAGCTTGCTTCCAGAGCAGCCTAATTAGAGCTGGCTTTAAAATGCCAGCAGTGTAAGAACCACGGGATCTCTGGGACTGGATGTCTTTGTTTAGGAGTATCTGGGTAGCACAAAGAGCGTTTCTGTAAGGCTGCAAATGGGTGTTGTCCTCTCATGTAGAGGATGTAGTGTATGTGCCGTGTAGGAGATGGAACAGGGACGTGTGTGATAGTGTCTATTACATATAATAGTGGTGACTGAAAACCTAGCAGTATCTTTTTATAAATCTTGCAGCTCATGTAGCCACTGCTTCCAGAAGAGCTCTTTATGTGTTGAGAAGGATTTTTTCTGTGATACTTCTTTCTTGTTGGTATGCTTAGGAGAATAAAATGCAAATTATTAATGCAGTTTGATAACCATTTGCTTTTCGTTTCAAAAGCTCCTGTGCTTTCAGAAAGCCCAAAAGGGCAATATACTTTCATCCCATTTAAGATTTATAAAGTGTGTCAAACAGCCGATATGAAATCGGTTAAACAGATCACTGTTGTGGCTCTCTATTCTTTCTCGTCTTAGGTATTTCTGGAGACAAGGTAGAGATAGACCCTGTTACTAATCAGAAGGCCAGCACTAAGTTTTGGATTAAGCAGAAACCCATTTCAATCGATTCTGAACTCCTCTGTGCCTGTGACCTTGCGGAAGAAAAAAGCCCAAGTGAGTAGTCCTTTTTATTTATGTTCTCTCTTCTCTCCCTCCCTGTATGTGCTGGATGTCCAAAGAATTATTGCTACCGTGCCCTTTTCTTTCTATAGGTGTATTTTATTCATTATAGGATGTTTTTAATCTGACTCAATTCTGTTACAGAGAGCACAACATAAACAAATACACATTTTATGAGTGTCCTTTTAATGCTGTTTACAGCTAATGGCATCATTAGGAGTGTTCCTTGCCCACTGTCAGTAGCTGCTAACAGTGTCATACCAAGGAAACACTGACTTTGCCTAGCCAGTCTCTAGCCCCATAGTATGTCAGTCGAATATATGCTTCCACATAATAGCAGTTATTTTAGATCTCTTAACATCCAAACCTGTTTTGAGCATTTTCTTAGGTGCAGCTGAGGATCTCAGGCATGCAGTAAGTATCTGCACAGTCTAAATTTGCTTCATCAGTGGCTGCAGGGTCACCAGAATTGCAATGTACCCCTCTTAAGAGTTCAGTGCTTGGATAGCAGCAATAGCTGAGCTGACTGGAGGACAGGCTGGACATCCCAGTTCATCCCAGTCATCAACAAGAGGTCAGAGTTTGCTGTGTCTAGAGTGCGAATTCAAAAGCCAAGTGCTTGTGCTTGTTTTATCAGTGGAGTAATGAGTCTATATCTGTAAAATCTGTTTTAAAAAGCACAAGATAGGTCCTGGGGGAATTGGGCAATGTCTCCTTGGGGTGCCAAAGTGTAACAATCTACTATCAAAAAGTAACTGCAGTTCAAAAGCTCAGATGGATTTTATTACACTTATGCTTTTGCAGGGTAGGGATGCTAAGTATTAAGTACTTATCTGCAGGGTGACAGAGAGGAAGAATTATGTGATACATATTTACAGAGGTAATGATCTGTTGAATTCTCTTTGAAGAGTAAATTTATGGCTGCCACAGATTTTATCAGCAATTATTGAACTATATCCTTCTCCCCTTCATTACCCCTTCCTACTTTCATGTTCTCAGTCCAGTCATTGTCTTCCTTTCCTGTCTCTCCAGCAAGATTTCATGGTCCTTGAGAAGGCATGATCCCAGTGAAAGACTTCCCTAATGACCACGCAGTCCAAACTGTGTAACGGTTCTCTTGATAGTTCAAGGTGCAGTTTTGTACTTGTAAATATATTAACACCTCTGTGTTTGTGGTGGTAAAACTGTGCCCACAAAATGGGACTCTATCTGAAAAGCCAGCCTTGAAAGCCACAGTTTGTAGCTCACACTCCTGTCAACACGACAGTCTGAGACCCTCAGGCTATCCCTGAAGACTTCCAGAACTGCATCCTGCAGGGATGGAGCTCTCCTGCCCCAGGGCCAGCACCTGCTGCTGTAGAAGAAGTAAGGGACAGAATTCCAACCCCCAGATAGAGTCTGGTTGTGAAAGGGCAGTACCTTCATGTGGAGATCATTGAAGGTTGTGGTCATTTTGGAGAGGATGCTGACAGGTTACAACAAAGGCGATCTTTATGATACTGAGGGGTATTACGTACTCTTTTTTTGTGGCCATCATAAACTTTTCTTATTAAGGAAGTGTTCAGCATATTTCCAAAGGAGAAAATAATTCCTCCTGAAATCTGCTGACCTCTTCCTGATTCATGAAAGACATTCCAAAAGTCATTATTTTAGGCCAGTAGAAGAGACTTCTAGTGTGACGTCTCAGAATGGTACATTTTTGGGGAACTCTTAACAGCAGATCAGTATCACTTGAATTTTAAATGGAAAAAAGTTATTTTAGTAGCATAAAGAAATGAAACTCCCTGTATTTTACAAGTTTGGTCTGTGATTTTTATCAGCATGGTGATATATGTTTGTAGCAGAGTTTACATCAAAAATTATTCCCAGATCTTCCTTGAATGAACTATTGCAAAGAAAGAGAGGCTGGAGAAAGATAAGGTCTTCGAGTTCTGCAATATATTTTGTTTTCATGTTTTTATCTCTTGTAACACAAACATGCTCCCTCTCGTCTTTCAGCAGCATTCTGCACATGTCGCGCTGCTTGTACAGTTACACCGGGTGAGAACACCAAGGATGTTTTATTAAGCTGCCTGCCTCCCCTAGACATTGGCAGCTGGGGTTATAATAAAGCTGAGTGCTGCTTTGCTACGCTGACTTCTTGTAATTTCAAAGAGAGGTGAAGGGTTTGCAGGAGCCTCCAAATGTGACCTTACAGTTCATTGAGGGCATGGGTGCTGGGAGTGGAGTTTGATGGCTGTGGTCGTTATAGCCAGAGGTTTATGCAACTATTGTTCCTCTGAACATGATAATCAACACAGTTTAGTGTTCAGTTAGCTCTTACTTTCTGCAGGTTAAAGAGATTTTAGAGGTTTTGCTGGTACTTTTCTGCAGAAATGGGAAACCAGAAATTGTGTATCAATGGAGTGAAAAGAGCCTCTTATTTTGTGTTAGCTTTCTCTGAACAGACAGGTTCATGCAGTGAAGCTTTAGTGGCACTTGCGTGAGTGTTAAAGGACTCAACAACTTCCAAGATGACATGTTGTGAATATTTATGGACACACTCAGAGTCATTCTGGACAGGGCTGAAGCTTTCCTGTGCTGTGAGTTCACAGAACTTAAGAGCTGCATCCAGTAAAAAGAGAAAATGAAAATGGAAAGCTTTGGCATCTCATTTGCCATTAGGATGGGTGTTGTAGGCAGGGATGGTGGATGATTCTTGTTTGCCCTTGTGATAGCTCTGGATCAGCATTTGAATCTTTATTTGTAAATTAAATCAGACTCCCTGAATTTAGACAGAGGGAAGAGGTAATGGCCCTGCTGGCTCGATCAAATGCCATTAGAACCTGACCACATCGTGTATAAACGGCTTGTTTAAATCAGGTTCGGTCTGATTATCACGAGAGATTCTGAATGTTTCGAATCTTGAAAGGAAGCATCCTATCATTGAGAAATAAGATTTAAGCCTTAATAAAGTAGTTGTCATTTTTATAGCTGAAAAGAGCTTTGTATCTCAATTAAGTGTACATAATACAAAGTCTTAAGGAAGCAACATAGTACGTTTAATACAATTATGTCCCTTTGCAATAGTGTAATTTAAAGGAAATCTGATTCTGTTAATGTCTGTTACATTACTTGGACAAGGGAGAAACTTCAGTGTCACTGACTGCACTATGGGCCAAGCGTGGTTGTGATGGATGTGTCGTGGCCATCCCTTCCTTGAGCTGGGGCTAGCAGCTGCCTCGGCATCCACACTGCGGGTGCACTGAGCTGGTGCTGGTGGCTGGAGGGGTGAGCACACCTCAGGGCAGGCCTTTCCATGGCATTGAGGCTAACCAGCTGGGCAGACTCAGACTCATCCACATACATAGGTTTCTTCCATTCACTTGTATTTTACAATAGCTGCAGAAATCAGATTTATTTGGTCATTTACTTGAAACACTGGAGAAATGTCCTCTGTGATCCTTTTTCTGCTTTTTTTTTTTTTGTTGTTTTAATAAAGCAGATACATCTCAGTTGCTAGGTCAAAATATCCTAAATATTAGTCTAAACAAAGGTGTTCTGTAGGTCACAGAGTACATTGGTAACTTCAGTTTGTGATTTAATTGCCTGTTTTGCACCCCGCAGCTTAAGATTTCTTTTAAATTCTTATTCCATTGTTGCACTGGGGCTTAACAGAGTGTTAACCTGGTAATAGGCACAGGGCCTCCCCATTATATGTCTCGCTATCGAGCGGTTCTGCATGACTAGTTAAAAAAGATGGCAAGAAGATTAATGAAAGCCGCCTAGTACAGAAGGGGGGTAGGTACCTTTGCAAGACTTCTAGCAAGGAGATATTAGAGCTGAACCAGAGCTTGCCTTTTTCTTTATCCTGTGACCTTTGAACCTGCCTTACTGTCGAGAGCTGCCAGCAGAGCCGACGTTTTGATTGATGTTGCTACACGAGTCAGTCTTTCCCATTGAATCCCACATCTGCACGAAAATAGCTTTTCTAGCAGTATTCATACTGGCTGTAAGTGATAGCCAAAGTGATGCCTGAAATGCTTTTATGTAGTTTTCATTTAAAGCTAAAGGTATTTGATGTTTTAATTCAGGATCCGATTCCTCCAGATTATGCACGTTGGGTAATACTAAATTAATGAATTCATTATTGGGTTGTGAAAAGACTAAAAACATGCAGGAATCATCGGGAAGGCATGGATTCCTGCTGCTTGGGGAGCCTAAATAGAGATGTTGCATGTTTGCTCAGAGCCCTGCAGTGGAGCTAGAGCAGAGAGGCAACAATCATCTGTGTGCTCTGCAAATGGTGCACGCAATGTGGGGTAGTTGCTCCCGCTGTGAGTAATGTGGGGTATGAAATGATAGAAGAAAATTCATACTTGATGGGAGACCCATCACAGGTTCTGATCAAAAGGTATAAAAAGAGGTTCGGCAGAGACAATGTTCCCAAACTTCAGGCTTGGAGTGAGAAGAATCTCCAAGTGTGTGACAGGAAGAAAGGAGCCCGTGTGGTTTGCGGAGCAGTGGATGCCCCCGAGGGGCGGCAGCGAAGGCACAGATGGTGCTGGGTTTGCTCATTTCCCATTGTCTGTGGCAGGCTCAGGGTTGTGCTGGGGCAGCCCAGGCCCTGGCAAAAGGCTGTTGGAGAGCTCATCAAGAGCCGTGTGGGAAAGGGTCATGGGATGTGCTCACTGGAGAAGGGATCTGGCAGCGAGGGAGCCGGCAGTGGTGGGGTGACGGCTCCGCTGTGAGAGCCTCCCTGCTGCTGCCCTGCAGACGGAGCTGCAGCTGATTAAATCCATCCCTATGAACAGCCTTTTCATAAAAGTACTCTGGAGCACAATCAGGAGTGTGCATTGCCTCATCCTTTTAACAAATATGTTTTGTAGCCCTATTAAAAGGGGTCTTCATCTATCCTGTCAAAGCTATTCTGCTGGGGTTTTTTAGTTTAATTACACTATCCAATTAAAACTCCTTGCTGCATTTTGATTCGCTTCTCCTTGGGCTTGAGTGGA